TACAATCAAGGTTATGATCAGTACAAAATTGATTATATTATGGATTATTATAATAAAAAACCTCTGATATCGTAATCCCATAATCCATGAAAGATATGATTTTGTAGGATTATGGGTGCTAAAAGTCCAATCCCCATCCCCCGCCTTCTCCTCTCTTTTCCTGTCCTTGTAAAGGGTAAAATAAGAATTTCTCACTTTAACCAACCATAGTAATTCAGAGATCCAAACACCTTGATTATTATAATTTACAACCCTAATTATAATAATCTTATGCATAATCCAGATTGTATAATCATGTGATCCAAACAAACTCTAAGGCGTTGATTAACCCGGACACCTACTTTATAAAATTGTCTTGGCTCCTCTTAAGGTCATGTTCGCTTCTTTTATAATCCGTACTTTTCAGCTTGTTTTTTCAGCCGAAACAGTGTTTTTCTCTCACAACAAATCAGCCGGAAGAGTGTTTCGGCTTGTTTTTTCAGCGAAGCAAACAGGGCCTAAGAAGTTAGTGGGCATGTAGAGCTCTCTAGCATGTTCAAGAAAATGTTTTAACACTACACATATGATCAAAACCGACACATTGCTTAACAAAACATAGAAAATAACCAATGTTTCTAGACCAGGCATAATAATAATTCTACTAGCAACAGTACAAGCGTACAACGTCTTGAGCTGGTGGCAGAAAGCGACCACTGACAAAATTTGAGGACAGGATGCTGCGCTTGGTTTGGAGCTAAGCTAACAAGCTAATTATTGGCGGCATAATTTGGCGATTAAAAAGTGCCATGCCGGTGCAGTGTTGTGACTTGTGAGGCTGTCATTGGCTTGCAACATGAGCAAAAGCGGAGGCTCACCGAACGACCCTGTCCGGAGGCAGTGGGCCGGTGGCTGGCGGCTGCCATTGACGTCTTCGGCAGCCGGCCGATGCACGGCCGCCTGGCTTGGCCCGGCCCGGCCCAGCCTCTGTCGTCACCGCATGGTCATGGTCGACCCGCCGCCCCTCTCCACCGACCGGCTACGTCAGCAAGGATACAACAAACAAGTTATTATTTCTATGGCCATTATTTTTTTAAAAGAAACATAATTTAGCTAGTGTCCACAATAAATTCGGAGATGAATGAAAGGGAATGTCTTTTTAACTATTGAAACATATATACTATTATTATGTTATTAACAGGTGATTCTTATCAAAAAGATATAAACAGGTATAATTACTCGATAAAACATTGCGCGCAGATATCTATTCATCGTCCTAAGTAAATGTAGTTTTTTTTTATGAAAACAAAAAAGATATAGTCAAAGTTGATTTTGATCGTGGAGTATGACTGAGAGGTGCACATGCGTGGTTAAGGATAATTCCAGCTATATGGGGTTTAATTTGTCGACCCGGCATGACCGCATGAATCTCCGGGAATATTTCACCCAGAGTAGATGATATATGTCTATTGCACTGTTGAGTATTGGATCTAACCAGACAAGGCAGGGACACAAAATAATTGCACCAGAAAATAGTAGTGATGATGACTGATGAGCACATGACCAGTACTAGTGCTAGTACCATTGCCAGTCAACTGCTCTAATTAAAGTCTTCTATAAGAAAACATTCCACACGTAATACCTGCAGCAAATTTGGTTCAGTCAGGTCTAAATAATATGCCTGCTATTTTTGTGGTGGACATCCTGGACCAAACTGACAGCACGATTTGCTCTTTGCCTCTTTGGTACTGGAACTCTGGAAGGTTGTACATGTGTACTTCCTCTATCACTGAAGAAGTGAGAAAGTTACTGTGTTGCATTCAGTTATTCTTCTTTCTGAGTACTCCTTTTTCTTTTTGGGAAGACATGCTCACTTATTCTGGCAGTGAACTGAAAACGAAGTTGCAGTAACAACTGTGTTCATAGACCATACTTCTGCTAGGTAATTCTTATTATGCAAAAATATTTAGCTAGAAAATTATAAGATTTTACTTTGATATAAAGAAATTTTCCTTTTGAACGTTGGCGAGCCCGGCCGGGGGTGGCCTGGCGGTGGCTCCGCCACTGCTTCTGTGTCAATGTTTTCAAAAAAAAAAACTTCTGCTGTCAAGTCAAGACCATTTGTGTTCAGAGAACTACACGGGTTAAGGCTAGGCCCTCTGATACTTTTGACTTATGGATACAAAACCTGCTGTAATCTGTCTTTTGTTTCTCATTTTCTTTCTTTCTTTCTTTCTTTGTTTCTTATAAGTTTCGGCTTTAGTTTTTCCTTTTCTCTTGTTGTACTTTGTTTTAATCTCTTTTATGCAATAAATTTTCTGTAGGGGCTTTTTGCCCCTCCAGTTTCATAAAAAAAAGTACACTACGAATGAGTCTAAGTGCCCCTAAATAAGTGCCTCTGACATTGTGGACCAGAGCTCATACCCCAGTCAAACTGTCAAACCAGCAGGAACGGGATACACATACAGTCAGCATCAGCCGTAGCAGGCCTGCTGAGTCGGATGAGGAGATGGACAGATAAGCATGTAAAAACATGACATGTTCTGATGATGTATACTACTACTCCGTAGTACATATCTACTCCTATTTGTCCACCTCTACCATTCAAATACTCAATAAACTCCAGTGAAAGAAACGTCCAAGTTAAATTCGGACACCGACAGCTCTGTTATCCTAATTATTACAGTATTAGCCTCCCTTTCTTGCATTGGCAGCCGATTATGAAAAACCAATTCATTCAGTACAAATACGCAGTTTGGCGGCTAAAGCACGTCAGCGTCGTCGTTTACCAGGCCACACATTGCAAGAAGGAAGAGAGCATTGCATCCACCAGTTGGAGAAGAAGAAAGCGAGAGGAAATTGACGTCGTTGAAACGTGCCGGTCAAGCACATACTACTAATGTTCCATGAGAGTACTAGCATGCATCACGAAGCTACCAAGAACCGAGCAATACAGACACCGTCATCACATCACTGTGATTGTAACTGATCTTATTTCCCCCCCTCCCTAGCTATTTCCTTTGTGTTTTTTTCCCTGCTAGCATATGTAGTTATCTTAAACCTTTCGGAACAAGATTGGAGAATTTTAATTAGGATGAGTTGCATACACAAATAATTCGTTAACTCATGTCCACCCAGATTCAAATTCTACGGTTAAGCTAGAGACGAGAAGAAACAGATAGCGCGACACACTTGACCGCGCAAAAGTTTGGTCGTCGCCTAGTCGTGTCTCTTTGAACTTGTGGAAGGAGAAAAAAATATATAAAAAAAACTCCAAGTAAAATCATTACTTGCACGAGACAACAAAATTATGAGCGAGACGTATAGAGAACTTGATTCGAGCGTCGCCGTCGGTGAGCTGTAGCTAGAGCGGAAACGTGCCGGAACTTGCTGCGCGTGTTGCTGCACCGCAGGTTTCGTTACGTTTCGCGAAGAGAGAGAACGTACGCTCGTTTGTTTTAGTTAGAGCTTATGGTATAATATTTTTCTTTCACAATAGATCGTTAATCGGGTTTCGGTCGGTTAGAAAACCAATCAAATGAAGAAATTTGAATATGGTTTCGTCCCGTAATAAGTAGTTTTCGATTATGACCCCTGTTCGACATTTGAAAAAAAATGTTCAAATAAGTTTGGCTTAATTTGTTGTGAGAGAAAAATATTATTCCGACTAAAATACAAGCTGAAAAAGACGGATTATGAGAGAAGCGAACATGGTTATTCGCCCAATCTTGGGTCATTTCATCATCAACTGCAGTGACAGTAATGCATGAACTACCAATAGCTAACCTGTTCATTTCGTCGTAAACGATCGTGGATTATTTACTGCTGGCTGGTTTGGTGTGAGAGAAAAATACTGTTCCAGCTTATAATCCACGATCGTATACGAGCAAACGAACAGGCTGAGTGTATCTAGAGCTCATCCTTCTTTTTCACAATCTAATATGCATTAATTGGTTCAGATACAGATATGACCATGGGTGAAATATATAAATAAAAAAACTTCAAAAAAATATAAATCAAATACCCAAATGAATTTTGATTCCAAACATTTGATGTATAGGTGCCCTGAATTCAACCCATATTTGCATTCCCTCCTATTAATCATAGAAGCCACACAAAACAAATCCTTTTTCCTGAAATCAACTGTACTAAACTTTAGGTAAAACATTGCGGGCCAAACAAATTTAATGTTTCACACCCCTCCACCAAAATAGACCTCAGAGCAAACCAGAGCACACGTCACTATACCAACCTCCCTCCTCCCATCCATTCATGTTTGTTCCCTTCACAAACCACCACACAAGTGTGTGTGTGTGTGTGTGTATATATATATATATATATATATATATATATATATATATATATATATATATATAAATAATTTCATAGAAAATACATAAATATATGCTACATATTTCTCTAAAGTAATCCACCTCAGCACATAGACAAAAGAACAAGAGATAATGCCAATAAGCCAAGCCACCTAGCCAATCACTCACTAGTCATCCTTAGTCATCACCATCTCCCCCTCCCTAACTACTCTCCCTTCCAATCCAATAGAGAACAAAATCCCTAACCTTCTTCTAGATCCTATACTTCTCCTAATAAACGAAAAATAGAAAGAAAAAAAAAGCAAGATAATAAGAGAGGCTTCCTTCGTGTTCCTCCGCTTGCTTGCTCACCCACTTGTCTCGGTCTCTCCCTGCCTACCAGTACCAGGAGGAGCCAAATCATCCACCCCCTCCCCCAACGAGGCCGGGCGCCACGCCATTCTCGCGAGCGCACAGGAGGGCAGGAAAAATCATCTCCTTGCACCTCTCCCCTCCTCCACCAAAATCCTCCAAAATCCCGATCTTTATTCCACCAAAGATCCTTCTTTTCTGGGTCGGGACAGATACACGACGCTATTTATAGCGTCTGGCCTCGTGGAAAGGCGCTCCGCTCTTGGCTGGCTCTCCCCACCTGCGGGGCTGTTGATTTGGGGAGGCAGTCAATCCGCCTGCGGCTGAAGAGTGGGGAGGCGCATGGCGGAGGAGGAGAGGCGGCGGCGGCGGTTCGCGAATCTGCGCAGCGTCCGGTGGCGGGTCGATCTCGGCATCCTGCCGGCGTCGCCCGGGGCCTCCGTTGACGAGCTCCGCCGCGCCGCCGCGGATTCGCGGAGGAGGTGAGGCTGATTGGCTCTTGTTCTTGGCCCACGTGCTGTTTGGTGCGTTTTTGTCGGCGGGAATCTCTTGTCTTTGTTCTTAGCCGGGCGGAGCTATTGCTCATCTTCACGTTTGGTTCTCGTTTGGTCGGGTGTTGTTTTCGTCCTCTGATGATTATGATGAGAGAGAGAAAATGTCTTTTGCCAAGGAAACAATGCAATAATTAAGGGTAAATGCTTCCAATTGGATATTGTATCAAGAAATAACTCATTGAAAATTTGCATGTCTCATTAATGGTTGTTTTATTGTTCACGTGGCTATGAGAGAAATTGCCGCTGAACTGGTCATCTACGTATGTATATAATTGGAGGACTGGTTCCTTCTTGCTGAAGTTGTCGACTTGTCATCTTTATGATTGGACCAATGGTTCTTTCAACTGACGAAGGTGTTTCTTGTTTCTTGTAGATATGTTAGTTTGAGGCGCCGCCTTATGGTAGACCCACATCTTCCAAAGGAGGAGGACAGATCATCCAACCTTGTTGTTGACAACCCGCTCTCTCAGAACCCAGGTATTTCGTCCTAGACATGATTTTATGACGAGAATGATGAACATGAAATTGATGATATATCCTTTGAATGTGGATGTATTTTGTTCGCTACCCGTTTACTTGTGCAAGACTGTTAATAATTAATATTAGTGGGAACTACTATGTTTATTTTGCACTGTCATCATAGATTCTTTTTTCCCAACCAATGAGGTTTCCTGAACCAGGCTTTAGGTAACAAACTCCAGTGGTATTGTCCGCAATTAGTAAGAAATCTATATAAAAGTAGAAAAGTGTTTATCTGGCCTATTAACACTTTGACATACTGACTTTCTTAGTAGCATAACTGCACCAGTAGAAGGGGACCCCTAACTCCAAACAACCAACAAGAACAAATATGGTAAAAGATTATTTTCTTAAATATACTGGAGCTCAAGGGCGGGGCACTAATTGATAGGAAAGTCTATGATTTTGATTGCAGTACGCTTTGCTGAATTTAGACTGGATTTTTCCATTACAACTAGATAATATTTCTTGTGTTGTTCTATTTCTATATGGCATAAACAGGCAACACTGTATTTTTCTTATAATGGCATCTTTGCAATGGCGAAATGCAAGAATGCTGCATGCTCTGCTCCAATGCTTCCTGCTAAAACTCTGAATTTCTTATATTTCTATTTAAATTCCTTGTGCAGATAGCAGCTGGGGCCGTTTCTTCAGAGGGGCTGAGTTGGAGAAGACAGTTGACCAAGACTTGTCTCGATTATACCCAGAAGATGGTAGTTACTTTCAAACACCTAATTGCCAGGCCATGCTGAGGAGAATACTGTTGATGTGGTGCCTTCAGCACCCGGAGTGTGGATATCGCCAAGGTAAGCAACTCTTTTAAGTACATGACTGACAGTAAGCCTTTGTTGCATATCTGGTTAGCTTTGCAGTCTCTGAGAAATGCCCATGGGGCTGAAACCATCATTTAATAAACTAAAATTATATTTTTAGATGTAATTCTTAGGATACATTGATAAGCTCCAAGATTATCTTATAAGGAAAAAACCACTTGCTTTTACTATATGATCCTAAATCTAGGGGCGGACACAGCGGTGGGGGGGGGGCTCAAGCCCCCCTACCCATATCGCAGCAGCGGAACTCCTTGTGGAGCCCCCCATGAATTTTTAGGCAAAGTTCTATAGTGTAGGGGGGGCTGAGACTTAAGATCGAACAACAGTGTTGTTCAGCCCCCCCTGAAATATTTTCTGGGTCCGCCGCTGCCTAAATCTAAAGCTGTGATAAATGCCACTGTAGTTTTGTTGGCATTGAAGTTTGATTAATTAGTTTATCCACATGATTATTAGTAGCTTTCCGCATTTTGTTATGTGATTGCCAAATATGTACTGACTTATGGACTACTTTCACAGGAATGCACGAACTACTAGCTCCTCTAGTGTATGTTCTTCAAGTTGACATTGATAAACTGTCTCAAGTGAGGAAGCTCCATGAGGATTGCTTCAATGATGATTTTGATGGAGTGCCTTTCCCAGATACAGATATGGTTTTTAGTTATAAACCTAGAAAGGACTCAAAATGGCATTCTGGAGCTGACAATGGTGATGATTCTGAAAGCGCTTCCAGAGTTAACACACTTGATGAGCTTGACCTGGATACGAAAGAAATAATTTCACTTAGTGATGCATATGGAGCTGAGGGTGAACTAGGCATTGTATTGTCTGAAAGGTTCATGGAACATGATGCCTATTCAATGTTTGATGGTTTGATGGATGGAGGTAGTGGAGTGGTCCGCATGGCAGAGTTTTTCTCTACATCCAAGGTTGGATCTAGCTCAAGTCTAGCGCCTGTCATTGAAGCCTCATCATCTTTATTTCATTTGCTATCCATTATTGAGCCATCTCTTCATAGCCATTTCATTGAGCTGGATGTAGAACCACAGTATTTCGCTCTTCGTTGGCTGCGGGTCTTGTTTGGACGGGAGTTCTGCCTCAACGATCTTTTAGTCGTATGGGATGAAGTTTTTGCTTGCTCCAATGACATGCTACTTGGAGAAAATGAAGAATACAGCTTTAAGATATTGTGCTCGTCTAGAGGGGCATTCATCGCAGCCATGGCAGTCTCTATGATTCTTCACCTTAGATCATCTCTGCTGGCCACTGAAATCAATACGTCGTGTCTTCAGAGATTATTGAACTTTCCAAACAATGTTGATGTGCATAAATTAATTGAGAAAGCTAAATCTCTGCAGTCTATCGCTGTTGATGCGAACGTATCATCCGCACCTCTCTTATCAAAGAAGGATAGCTGTGATTATGATAGGGTTTACAGTAATCTTGCTACTTCAACTCCTCCAAGGACTCCGTTGCATCCATTACCTGAGAGCTACTGGGAAAAGCAGTGGAGAAATCTGCACAATGACGGAACTGCTCCCAAAGAGAGTGATAAGGGTCTTTCTTATAAGAGATCACTAAAGCAATCTTTAAGCGAGAGGCTTGGTTTATCTAGGACACAGTCAGATCCTTCTCCAGTTAAGGTAGTCAGTGTGAAGAGCGACACCAAGAATTCAGTGAGACGGTGTCTTTTGAACTCTTATTCAGATAAAGTAGTACAGTCCAGTGAAGTTGCTGGAAAGTTTCAGCAAGATGAATTCCCTATCGTATCGATTTACAAGGAGCCTCTTATGAATTCTGAAAGGTCCTCACAACTAAAGTTAAAGGCAGCTAGTGAGAATTTAACAGTAAACCCACCAAGTGTGACAAAGTTCAATCCACTTATAGATTCACCAGTGAAGCCTGCTGAAGAGAGTTCAACGAAAAGGACAGAAGCTTGTTCTAGTGGTGAGAATTCTCCGGTGTTTTATGCCGCTTGTGCTGGCAATGAACATGAGAATTGTCACGATAATGATTCTGAGAGAAGTAGCATCACATCAAATTCATGTGCCGGCGATGATGATAGGGATGAAGTTCTAGCAGATGAGTCGTCCAGCTGTAATTGTGAGGATAAAAATGTCTCAGAAGCAACAGAGTCTGCAACAAATGTAGATCCAGTTGGACCCTCTGAGAGAACTACGGTATCTAATGAAAGAAAGCCATTTATTAACAAGCTACAGTGGTTCTTAAGGTTTGGCAGACCTTCAGCCGAAGGCAATGTGGAGAAGGGCAGTGCCGAGGCATCAAATGATAAACATGATGCAGTTCTTCCCTGCTCTTCAGCTGCTGATGTGAGTTCGGATAACTCCCGCAGCGGCATAAATTTGGCTTCTGGTGATAATAAGAAGGTGATGGGCACACTGAAGAATATTGGACAGAACATGCTTGAAAATATCCAGGTATTGTATTTCAGACACCTGTTATTGCCCTTTGCGGTTTTTTCTTTGCCAGGTTGTTGTTGCTAGCAGTCCACACTATTGCTGATGAGAATTTCTATGTTTAGAGATAGGATAGCAGTCCATACTACTGCTGATGACAATTTCTATGTTTTAGAGATAGGATTGTAACCAGTCAGCATTTTGTGTTTTAGAGTAAATGCAGCTTGTGCTTTGAAGTCCCCTCTAGTATTGTTTAATTTAGTCTTCTGCATCCTGAAAGTTGTCTAAGACATGAGAATAACATTATCTTGGTTGCCATGTACACAGGTGATCGAATCAGCGTTCCAGCAAGACCACGCGCAGCCAAGCGCCATGGAGAACTTCTCAAACAACATCCTGGGAGGCAAAGGGCAGGTCACTGCGATGGCTGCCCTGACAGAGCTTCGCAAGATCAGCAACCTGCTCCGCGAGATGTAACCCATCCATCCAAGGCGTGTGCATGTACGCATATCCCCATTCTTTCCAGATTCATTAGCTCATCAGATAAGCAAGGCCCGTGTAGTTAAAGCCTAGGCTCCCCGCCCCCTTGTATATATAGATCCCATTCGATTATTCCATTGAGCCCGCCCGTGCGCCCGGTGCGATAAGGCTCTTTCTTGTACCTAAGGATCGGCTGCTGCTGTCAACTGAGTTGCACGAGATGAGGGGGAGTAAAACTCTCTTTCTCTCCGGTGTTAGGAGGCAACTTTTTTGATGGAACAATTTTGGACGCGTAAATGTTTCTCGAGGTAGAATAAATGGAATAAGCTAGTATGTCAGAAAGTGCAAATATTTTTTCTGTCATTTTTCATGCTGAGTTGCCTTTTGAACTGATCATCATCATTCATAGATGGCTGTGGACCTTTGTGGTGCTGGTGCTTGTGCAGCTTGGTTGTCTGTTCTGTTTGTGTATAGTTTAACATGGATCCTTGTATTGTATATGCCCCATGTGATGTGGCCATGTGCATCAGTGCAGATATCATTCAGAATCATTTGGTTGTCTTTGGCAATAATGAGCAAAATGGATCAGGTCTTTGGATACCCTATAAACCCAGGTGGCCAGGTGCATTGCTTTTGGTTGTCTTTGGCAATGAGCAAAAAGGATCAGATCTTTGGATGCCTTAAACCCAGGTGGCCAGGTGCATTGCTTTTCTTGTAGTCGTAGCCATCAGCCAGTGTGTGTGTTCTGAAGAGACGAGGTCAGGATTGGACGGACGGATGTGCAGCAGGATGGACGTACAATTCATTGTCATGTGATGCGTCCTGAGGCAGGTCCGAGTCGAAGTCGATCCACGCCACGGCAGTCGTCAAAGCACAGCAGCTAGTAATAATGTACTAGTAATGTTTAGTTGGCTGTGGCCTGTGGCCTTGATGGATTTCTTGGCTTTGACGCATGATTTCCGCGTGCTTGACGTGACTGGTTTGGGTTTAGGTTGGGCGAAATGAATTTGGCATGAGGAGAGCTGGAAGGATGCGTTGTATTTTCGTGTACGTACGCCTCTTGGACAGGGGCAGGACAGCTGGTAGCTTGCTTACTCCTTGCGCAGTCGTTTCCGTGGGTATTGTTATTGTTTGTCTGACGAAGGAGAAGGTGTCGATCGATCGATAGATAGATAAGGACAGGTTGGGCCTCAGCGGATCCACGTGTTAGGGGGTGTCTGTCATGTTTGCTGTAACTGATACTAATATAGGAGTACTCCTACTTGACAGTTGACACTGTAAAAACGTTGGTGGCTGGCTTGGTGCCTGTGGTCTGGTTCGCTTCGCTAAAAAATTAAGTTGAAATATTGTTTCAGCTAATTTGGTGTGAGAGAAAAATCGATTTTGATAGAAAAAACAAGTTGAAAAGTGTGGCTGACCCGTCGACACGTACGGCTCGCCATGCGGCTGCTATGCATGCATGAGCACGACACCTGGCTGGCTGACTCACCGCTCATCCTATGAAAAGAAAATTGAGGATTTATGCTTAAATCTTAATTCGCCTCTGCTGCATCCTACGCTCATGCTAGTAGGGTGACGAATTGGTATGATAGACACCCAAACCCAAGCTAGCTATGGAGTGTGGCGCCGGATCGGACATCGGAGGCAGCTACCATGCATGCCGGCGTTGGTGCGCTCGACGTACGGTGAACCGACGCGCCGGCCCGGCCGTGGCCCGACGCCCTGACCCGACACACACGGCCATGCACGATGGACGCATGCTAATTGAAGGATTCAGATTCGGTGTCCAGTCACCAATCTTATCCGCTCGCTTTTGGCTTTGGCCTCTGGGGAACCAACCGGACTTGCTAGCGTCCGATCCGGGCGCTGCCATCCGCTGCACAGCGAGCGAGCCGAGCGCTTCACCAGTGGGCTCGTGCCGTCCTTGTCGTCGCCCACGCGCCGCCAACCGCTTCTCATGCGAATTCCACGTACAACACAAACAGATGTAAAAGTTACAACATGCAAAAGAAGACACGTGAAATGAAACACTTTGAAACAAGCATCTCAAACACCCGTGAAAACGCCTGAAAAACATTTGACATCCATTGCAAACATATGCAACATCCAGATGAAATACTTATACTTGCAACATGCATGTATATGCAACATCTAGATCTACTTTTGAAACATCCAGATAAAACACTTGCAACATACGTCTGGACAGATGAAACATTTGAAACATATACACTTAAAACATACGTGTATAGCCATCACAACATGTGTAACATCCCAATCTACTTTTGCAACATTAACACTTGCAACATACATCTGAAACATTTGAAACACTTAAATCATACTCTTGTAACATGCGGTTTTCACCCTTCTTCCTCCTCCTCCTTCTTCTTCTTCTTCTTCTTCTTCTTCTTTCGTACGACACAACACAGAGTGGGGAAACGGCCGATTTCGAAAATCTACATCCTGGCCACCGTCAGCGTCGCCGTTGCTAGGGGAGTCGCCTCTGCTGGGGGAGTCTTCCTTACCCGATCTCATATGCATCACTGCCGGAGACCGTCTGAAAGCTCTAGTTTGGTTTTGGTGAATTGATGAAACCCTAAGTGCTAACCTAGTTTATCAAAAGTGATTATGAGATATGTAGCACTACTCCAAGTGATCAAGCAAATGAAAATCATGACATGATGATGGTGATAGCATGGTGATGATTAAATGCTTGGACTTGGAAAAGAAGAAAGAAAAACAAAAAGCTCAAGGCAAAGGTAAAATTGATAGGAGCTTTTTGGTTTAGTGATCAAGACACTTAGAGAGTGTGATCACATTTATGATCGATAGCCGTACTATTAAGAGGGGTAAAACTCGTATCGAAATGCGGTCATCAAAGTGCCACTAGATGCTCTAACTCATTGCATATGCATTTATGATCTAGTGGAGTGCTAACACCCTTGAAATTATTTGTGAAAATATGCTAACACATGTATATAAGGTGATACACTTGGTGGTTGGCACATTTGAGCAAGGGTGGAGAAGTTGGTGAAATGACGGAGGCGAAAGGAGGTTACTGTAAGTGACCGGACGCTTGCCTCAACTGGATCGGCGTGTCCGGTCAGTGGAAGAGCGCTGGCGTCGGTCTTCGACCGGACGCTGGGTCACTTTGTGACCGAACGCGTAGTGGGTGCGTTCGGTCCCGCTGACGTGGCGGCGTAGAGAAGAGGAGAAGGACCGGACGCTGATGCTGCGTCCGATCATGACCTACCGGACACGTCCGGTTGCAGTTGAGCAGCTCTGGGAGCTCTCTAAACTCAACCGGACGCTGCCCCTCCTATGTCTGGTCGTGATCGAACTGACGCGTCCGGTCGTCATTTGGCTCTCTCGGAAACTTTCTGGAAACGACCGGACTCGGCAGAGGTACATCCGGTCTTGGCACTGTGCTGCGTCCGATCATTACTTAACCGTTGAGATCGGGCGCTCAGCATTTGAAGAGAGGGATGACATGGCAGCCATCCGTTGACCGAACACTGGCAAGGTACGTCCGGTCGACTCTATTTTCAATTGACTCAGGAGCCAACAGCTCTATTTCGTGGAGGCTTCTATTTAAGCCCCATGGCCGGTTCAAGCTTACCCTCTTGGCAATTTGCATTGACATAGCAACTTTGTGAGCTTAGCCAAAGCCCTTCCACTAATCTCCATCATTGATTCAACATCTTTGTGAGATTGGAAGAGAATCCAAGTGCATTGCTTGAGTGTTTGCATCTAGAGGCACTTGGTGTTTGTGTTTCGCTACGAGATTCACTTGTTACTCTTGGTGGTTGCCGCCACCTAGACGGCTTGGAGCAGCGAGGATCGTTGAGCGGAGGTTGGTGATTGTCTTCGGCTCCGATTGTGGTGATTGTGAGGGGTTCTTGACCTTTCCCCGACGGAGAGCCAAAAGGTACTCTAGTAAATTACTCGTGGCTTGTGTGATACTCATCTTGTATTGGTTGTGCGACACCCTATTGAGGGTTTGACGTGTGATGCCAATTAGCGCGTGAACCTCCCAGTGAGTGAATCGCCACAACAAGGACTAGCTTGCCGGCAAGCAAATGAACCTCGATAAAAAATCATTGTGTCATCATTTGATTCCTAGGTGATTGGTCTTCATTGGTATTCACTTTTGTGATTAATTGGTTCATCCCTCAACTCGACGGTATAACCATCTTGCTCTCTCTCTTTACGTTACCGCAAACTAGTTGTCAAGCTCTTTAGTATAGCTAGTCGTGAGAGCTTGTTAGTTTGGTTAGTGTGGCTCTTTAGTTAGCCTTTAAGAACATACTAACTTAGTGTAGTGACATAGCCATTGTTGCGATATACTAGTGATCATAGAAAATAGAATTGGGTAGGTGGCTTGCAACCCCAAGTATAGAGCTAGTGCAAAATTTGCTTCGCCATCTTATTGACTAATCATTTGTCTTAGTGTTGTTGTAGAAAATTTTAATAGGCTATTTACCCTCCTCTAGCCATTAGGACATTTCACCGTCGCCGAGAGAGAGGGGGGAGGCCGATTGGTCGCCGCTCCTAGCTCGAGCTGCCGCCAATTAGGGACAGAAGCAGGTGAGGGCACGATGCAGAATGGAAACCATACGCATCGGTCGGTGAGCACGGTGGAGAGTGAAGAAGCCGTGCGGTGGCACTCGAGTGTGGTGGGGAGGAAGGACGAAGGCAGGCGGATGGCCGGGCGCAATGAATAACACCGCGCTGGAGGGATCGCTGTGGACCATGCCGCGGTGGCAAGAAGAACTCGATAAGCGGATAGTATGGTTTGATCTTGTCTAGAGTAGATTGGCCGAATGATTCTTAGTTTTTTTAGAAAACAAACAATTCTCAGTTAAGCGAGCGGTGGAATGTCGAGCCATTCAGGTTGATGTCGCGGCCCACTGACAGAGGCGATCGGACGCCCGAGCCTAAACATTTCTAGAACCCAAATACTAATGCGCAATCTAGCACAGTGCGTCCTTTTTCCTTTT